GAAGGCTCCAGGAGACACCCGAGAGGTTTTGGGGGGCACGTGAGGGGTTTTGGGAAAGACCTCAGGGTGCGCCTGAAGGGGTTGGGGAGCGTCTTGGGGGACACGGTGGGTTTTGGGAGGGCCAGGAGAGAACCCCAGGGGATTTGGGGGGCTCTGGGCTCACACAGGACCACCCCAGAGGTTTGGGGGGTCAGGAGGGAGCTGTGGGATTTTGGGGAAGGAGTGACACCCCTGCCTCCTCTTCCCCCTCCAGGTACACCATCTTCAAGGACCACGTCACGCTCGGGGACTGTATCCACCTGCACCCCAGAAACCCCCAAAACCCTTCCCCCAAATCCACCAACACCCAACTCCCTCCCCAAAATCCTTCAACCCCAAAACCCCTCCCCGAAATCAATCGACACCAAACTCCAAACCCCCTCCCTCTCTCCAAAATCCTTCAATACCAAAAATTCCACCCCAAATCCTTCAACCCCTGCAGAGAAAACCCCCAAAAACTCACTTTTCTTTAACTCTGGCTCCAGATGAGATCCACGATGGGATGAACCTGGAGCTCTACTACCAATAGTGGCCCCTTCCAGTGCATCCCGGTCCTTCCCAGTACATCCCAGTGTCCCCCACCCCCATTTTCACCCCATTTCTCCCCCTGGAGCTGCATTGAGGCTCCAAACCTGCCCCGTTTGTTTATAAATAAAGGCGATTTTGGGGCCTCCGTTGTGTTTTGGTAGTTTTGTGGCAACATCCCGGGGTGTTTTGTTGGGATATCACGATTTTATGACAACATATCGCGATGTTACAGCCAGCAATTGTACAGGGGTACATGAGCCTGAAAACCCAGAGCTCCCGATATGGATAAAACTCACGATATGTGGGAATCTCCGGCGATGCAGAAGAGAATCACGACAGAGGCGCGGGGGGGGCGTTGCTATGGTAACGGCCACGTTCCAATCAGGCGCTGCGTAGGCGGCTTCGTTGCTCCGGCAACGGGGGCCTTCCATGAGGACGGCGCGCAATATGGCGGCGCCCATGACGAGCGCGGTGCCGGGTGAGAAAGGCGGGAGGAGCCCCGGGNGGGAGGGGCGGGAGTGGGACCCCGAACAGCGCCTCCCTCTCCCCTCAGCGCCGGGACAGGGCTGAGCTCGGGGGACCAGGAGCCGGCACCGGGCAGGGGCAGCTTGGGATCGCCCGGCAATGGCGGACGGGCTGGGACGCGCCACGGTGAGTGTGAGGGGGGATCCAGGTGGGATGGGCAGGGATCCAGGTGAGTGTGACAGGTCCGGGATCCAGGTGGAAACTGCACAATAACTCAGCTTTAGCGTGTGGGGAAATCCCGGTGCTTCCATTTCTCCCAAGGGAATTTGTGTCTCTCCTCAGGCTGCCAAGGCCAGGAGCAGGATACCAGGTGAGTGCCCTCACCTGGACACTGGGACAGGGAATGTTCCAGGAGCTTTTCCCACCTGCCTGGTATGGGGAACGCACCTGGGCTTACCTGGGTCACCTGGGCATTGTCCTGTTCCAGATCCCATCGAGGACGTGCTCGGGGAGCTCCTGGGGTTTGATGGTAAAATGGGAGTTCCCAGCAAAATCACCTGGAGGGAATCCCCTACTGTCCATCCCTGACCCCTCCCTTGTTTCCAGAAGAGCCCCTGGCTCCCCCTTCGCGAGGTTCCCAGGCCCCCTTCCCGCAGGTGAGCCCCAGGTGAGCCCCTCCAATCCCACGTTGCGGAATCTCCCCGGCATTCCCAGCCCTGCTCCCCCACCCTGGGGCTGGATGACCCTCGTTTTCCAGGTGTTCCCACCTGGGAGCACCTGGGACTCCTCCCCACCCCCCTGACCTGGGCTGTGCCCAGGGAGAGCCTGGATCTGGATTCCGGAGGCAAATTCCCAGCAGGGAACGAGAAATTCCCAACGGAGAACGCAGAAGGGACGAAGGTGAGCAGGCGCAGAATTCCCAAAGGTTTTGGGAATCCCACCTGAGCTGCAGGTGAGGGCAGGAGCTGCCCCTCCCCAGGAGCTGGATCACCTGGATGAGCTGGATGCGGAAATCCTGGGAATGGCCAGAGTCGGGTCCAGGCTGGGGAAACACGCCGGGAAGGGGCTGGGTCCTGGAAAAGGTACAAGGAATTCCCATGGGATCCAACCCCACGCCCTGTTCCCAGATCCTCCCTATGGATCTGTGACTGTTCCTCCCTTTTCCCACGCTTCCAGGGGCATTCCCAGATCTGGGGGACCCCCTGGAAAAGCCGTACCCGGAGGAGCCAGCGGGGCTTGGGAACAGCTCCGGGAACAAAGCAGGACGGAGCAGGGACAGCGGTGAGGGGAACCCAGGGGACACACAGAGACTCCCAGAGCTGGGGCCACCTGGAGATGTCCCAAATCCAGCTGGTGACACCAGGAGCTGTCCCAGAGTTGGTGACAGCCAGGGATGTCCCAGATGCCATCGGTGCCATTCCCCCCCAGCCCCACCACGTCCTGATGTCACCTTTGGGGACGACGTCGATGACCTGGTGGATTCCCTGGGGCTCGGGAGCAGTGCTGATGGAGCCAGGAATGCGCAGGGAACACCGGGAAGGTGAGGGGACACCGGGATGGGGACAGGGATGGGGTGGTCCTGGTGCCAACCCCTGGTGCCACCCCCCTGTGCGCCCAGCCAGGGGCTCCGGAAGGGCCACACCAGGATCCAGGAGCTGCTGGGAGGAGGCTCTGCGGGAAAAACCCCAGAACAGCCGGGAAAAGTGGAATTGCAGCCGGATCCCAAGGAGCAGGAGCAGACGGGTAAGCATGGCTGGGGGTGGGGGTTCCATGGAAGGTGTTTTCCAGAGGCTCCATCCCATTTGGAATTTCGGGAATTGTGACCCAGGGCTGTTGTTCCAGGGCTGGGCAGGTGCCGAGAGGAGCCAGATTCTCCCTTCGGATTCTACGAGCCCTCGGTGGCCTCAGGGACTGGGCAGAGACGGGGACGGAGGTACTGGGGAGGGAGGGAGGATGTCCCCACCCAGCCATGTCCCCGGTGTCCCCAGTGTCCCTCTCCCCCCACAGGTGTCTGGTTGGGACCAGCTCCCGACGTCCCTCTGGGGCCACCTGGCTGGGGCTGAAGGATGAGGATTTCCCAGGATTGGGATCAAAGGATGAGGATTTCCTGGGATTGGGACAGAAAGACAAAGATTTCCCAGAACTGGGACAGAAGAACAAGGATTTCCCAGGATTAGGACAGAAGAACAAGGATTTCCCAGGACTGGGATCGAAGGAGAAGGATTTCCCGGGACTGGGACAAAAGAATGAGGATTTCCCAGGGTCAGGGCCCAATCCCCCAGGTCAGGAGGATGGGAGCTGGCTCAGCACTGCCCTGGCACGGAAGCAATCCCAGGCTGAGGCTCCAGAGCAGAGTTCCCACACCCAGAGGGTCCCAGAGCCCCACGAGCCCAGCAGGTAAAGGCTCCTTCCAGAACTCTCACCTGGGATTGAGGAGATCTCCTGGATCAGGATTCCTGTCCCATGGTCTCCTCCAGGTGTGCCCAGGGAATGGCCCTGGTCCAGAACTCCTGCCCTGGCTCAGCTCACCTGTGACACAGGTGTCACCGGGCAGGGCTCAGGTGACCAGTGTGGGGGGAGGGCACCCCTGGGGTGTCCCTGTCCCCTCCAAATCCCAAAGGTGGGATCCCTGACATGGCACAGGTGATACGACACAGGTGACACAGGACAGGCCAGGCTGGGGGAGAGTCCTGGCTCCCCTCACTCTCCCTGTGCAATTTGTTTCCTGATCCAGGCTGGATCTCCCCATCAGGACACAGCCCCGTGGGCAGGTGGCAGCAGGTGAGGCCTCTGTCACCCCCAGGTGTCCTCTGAGGTCACCTGGGATGATGGGATGGGATCCATGGGATGTGATGGGACAGTTCCATTCTGGCTGCCGAATCCCAGGGATGGATCTGTCCCATTTTCCTCCCCAGCAGTGCAGGAGGTGCCGGGTCCTGCCACACCTGCTCAGGTGGGTGCTGGGGCAGGAGCAGGGAGGTGTCCCTGGGGATCCCTTGGAACTGGGGGGGCTGGACATGGATCAGCATTCCCAGGAGAGGGGAGCTGCCCTTCCCAGGCCTCTCCTGGAGCATCCCTGTGTCCCCACAGGAGGATCTGCTGCCAGCCCAGCCCTGCTTGGAGAATCCCCGAGCTCTCCCATCCTGGCTCTGCCCAGAGCATCCAGGAGCTTTCCCAGCCCAGAAGCGCCAGGAGGATCTGGAAACATCCCAGCCCCACCAGGAGGATCCAGGGGCTCTCCCCTCCCAGCCCCACCAGGATTCCCAAACTCTCCAGTCCCATCCGTGCCAAGAGCATCCAGGCTGTGGGATCACCCTGCGCAGCCTCCAGGCCCGGGTGGAGGAGCTGGAAAACCAGGTGGGGGTTGAGGGAGTTACCTGAGGGTGTCACACCTGAGGGTGTCACACGGGGAAGCCGGAGGTGGCCACGGGAGCTCCGTGCCCAGGGTGGCACCTGGAGCCCGTCCCACTCCCGCCAGGTGCGGACTCTGGAGCTGGAGCGGGCGCAGCGGGGACCGGTCCTGGAGAGCTCCTACAGGTAACGGGATCTCACCTGTGCTCCCAGCTCCCTGCTCAGCTCCTCGGGCTGGGAGCACTGGGATTCTTCCTGATCCGTCCTGGGCAGGAGTCAGGGAAAGGTGCAGAAACAGCAGGAGAGACCACAGCAGGAAAAGGAGCAAATCCCATCCCGGAGCCAGGGCACGGCACGGGATCACCCTGGATCCCAGGAGCGGGATGAGCAGCTCACAGGTAAATTCCCTCCAAGTGCATCGTTCCAGTGGGACCCTTTGCTCCATCCCAACGGCGTCAGAGCTGATCCCACAGAATCCAAAGGGTTCTGGGACAAATCCTGCTGTCCAGAGGGAGCCCTGGGCCTATAGATCCCTGTCCCATCTCTCCTGGGGGGGATTCCTGACCAGAGGCTCTGCCGGTCTGAGTGTCCAGTGGTGCTTGGGCAGGGGCTCAGCTCCGTCCAGGATTCCCACCAGTTCCCAGAAAACCTGGTGAGCCAGAGGCCAGGAGCCAAAGCTGGCAAAGTCCTACCTCCCATGGGCAGATGCCACAGTGGGATCTCCCTGTCCCGGGATGGCGCATGAGCATGGAGGGATTTCCATGAGGGATGTCCATGTGGATGGAGGGAGGTCCCACATCCCGGGACGTGCCGTGCCTCTCGCAGTGCTCCAGGACAGGCTGTGCCGGCAGCAGCGGGATGCAGAGCGGGAGCAGAGCCGGCTCCAGGAGGTTGTGGCTGACTTGGAGACCAGGCTGGGAGAGCGGGAGCAGCTCCTGGAGCAGGTGAGACCCTATCCCAGAGCTGTGCCCGTGTCCGTGCCCGGCCTCCTGCCGAGCTGCCCCGTGTGGCTGCAGGAGCGCCGCAGGGCCGCAGCCGAGCGCTCCAGGGCGGATTCGCTGCGGGACGCGCTGGAGGAGCAGCGCCGGCTCTCGGCACAGCTGCTGGCCATGGAGAGGGTGGCGCTGGACGAGGCCAAGGTGAGCAGGGACATGGCTCCAGGTGATCCTGCGAGCAGCGAGGGGCAGGTCGGTGGGGCTGAAGGAGGGAAAAGCAGCACCTAGAGCTGTCCCTCGGCCCCAGGGCACGTGGCTGGAGGAGCAGCGCGCAGAGCTCCAGGATCGCTCCGAGGAGCGGCGGCGGCTGGCGGCCGCCTGGGCTGAGTTCCACACCCGGGAGCGGCTGAGCCGGGAGCAGGCGGAGCAGGACAAGGAGCGGGCCCTGGGCATGGAGTCTGCGCTGAGGAGCCTGGCCAAGGTCTATGATGGCCCTCCCAGGGTCCCAGGCCACCTCCCCCTGCACCGCAGCCCAAAGCTGGAGCAGCCAGGCAGGCCCAGAGCTCTCCTATGACTGCAGGATGGGACAGGTGACACTTACTCATTGTCCCCCTACCCAGGAGCAGGCAGAGCTGAAGTTCCGGAGCCGGGAGCTGAGATCCAAGGAGGAGCAGCTGGCAAGGGACAGGGAGGAGCTGGACGAGGCCCAGCGGGAGCTGAGGCTGGAAAAGGAGAAGGTTCTCCGGGCCGAGCAGCGCCTGCGGGAGCGGGAGGAGCAGATCCATGCCCTGGCTGAGGTAAGTGGAGCTACCACGCTGGAATTCCCAGCTGGGAGCAGAGCTGGGGCTCCACACCCCCTGCTCCCCTGTCCTGGTGCCATTCCCGCAGCGCTCGGAGCAGCGGCACCAGGACGGGGAGCGGGCACTGCGGGAGGCACGGAGCGTCCAGGCCGAGCAGCGGGAGCGGCTGCAGGCCCTGCGGGAGCAGCGGGAGCAGCTGAGGCAGCAGGAGCAGCGTCTGCACCAGGCAAATCCCTCCTTCCCCAGCCCAGCCTGGCTGTGCCCAGAGCCAGAGCCTTTTCCGACGGCCTTTCCTTCCCTTTTCCCGGCGCGGGGCAGGACCGGCTGAGCCTGGAGCGGCAGAGGGAGCAGCTCCAGCGGCTCCGGGATGAGCTGTCCCCTGCTCCAGGGACACTGCTGGGGACAGTCCCCATCAATGGGCTGGGTGAGGCTCCAGCCCTGTGGGGATAGTCCCGGCTGGTTTCTTGGGGGTCCTCATGCTCCAGAGCTGCTCTGGGCTCTGTGCAGGGTGGGAGGAGGTGGGAAGGCACAGCAGGGACGGGTGCTCTGCTGTCCCCCTCTGCAGCTCCGGTGGCTCCTGGGCTCCTGCCTCCTGTGGGGATGTTCCTGGGGGACAGCAGGGACCACCCAGGCTCGGCTGCACTCTATGGACACCTCCTGCTGCTCAAGCACCGTGCCCAGATGGTGAGGGGACAGGGCTGGAGGGCTGAGGGACAGCCAGGGGGAGCTGGAAAGGGCTTGGGACTGGCCAGGTGGGCTGGGAAAGGGCCTGAGAAACTGCTGGAAGGGGCTGGGAAGGGCTCAGCCCGTCCTTACCTGTCCCCAGGACCACGATTTCCTGGAGAATGAGCGGCTCTTCTTGGAGTCCCTGAAGAAAGGGCCCTGAACTCCCCCTGCATCCCTGGGGATTTCTGTGTCCCAAGCTGACACTGTGGCATATCAAAAAATAAATGTATTTTTGTAAAAATAAATTTTCTGCTAAGAAACTTACCCTGCCATTCCCAGTGTTCCTGGAGTGAGCTCCAAACTGTCCCAGCCCTGCCCTGGGCTGCTGCCACAGCTCCCGGGGTGCTCCAGCTGCTCCTTTTGGGATATTTTCCCACGGAATCTGGGCTGGGCTTGCCCCCATTCCCTGCTCTGAGGGGGCAGCAGGGCTGTTCCACTCCTGTCCTCAGCAAGAGAGGGACAGGGAAAGTTTAGGGGCTTTAAGCTGCCCCAGAGAAGGTTTACATGGGATTTCAGGTCCTTTTCCTGCCATTCCAGGGCTCTGTGACTGTCCCAGCACAGAACCGGGGCTGCTCTGTGACATCAGCCCCAGGCAGGGCTCGGGGGGCCCCAGAGGGGACACGCTGGGCTCTGGCCGCTGTCACAGTGTCCCCAGCATGGCTCCGCTGTGGCTGCTTGTCCTGCTGGCCCTGGCCGCGCCCTCCTGGGGCACCTGGGACACCTGCGAGTACGTGACCCCTGCCCGAAGCCGTTCCCCTGTTCCCCAGGGGTCCCCTGGGGGTCACCACAGACACCCGGAGCCCAGAGGAAGGTCACAGCCCTGTGCCCATACCAGGCTCTGGCACAGCTGCTCAGGCACCACTTGGGGGGCAGATGTGACCCTGGGGGCCCCTATCCCCAAGCCGGGGGTCCCCTGTCCCTACTCAGGCAGAGCCAGGGGGGACAGCCAGGTCCCTGGGGGGTGTCCCTGTCCCCGTGTCGCGGTCCCACCGGGCCGGGCAGTGACACCTTCGCGCTTCCAGCGGCACCTGCGGGCTCCGCCCCATGGCCGAAGAGTTCGGGAACGGCGCCGGGGCCGTGCCCGGGGCTTGGCCGGGGCTCGCCAGCATTCAGGACCCGCGCAGGGCCGGCAGCGGCCACGTCTGCGGTGGGACCCTCATCAGCCCCGCGTGGGTTCTCACCGCCGCCCGCTGCTTCCTCCACACCAGGTGAGCGGGGCCTCCCGGGACAGCCCCGGAAAACTCCAGGAGGCTCCGGGAGGGCCCTGGAAAGCTCCA